CCTTTTGGTGAATTACAGTAATTGTTTTCTAAGAATAATTATGTACTGTATGTACCGTAAGGGTGATATTGGCCAAATTTCAGCTGTAGTAAGTCAGTCTTGTTACTACAAATGTACTACAGCCTTTGGAATATGAAAAAACCCTTTTGGTCAATTACAGTAATGTTTTTTTAAATTAATTATGTACTGTATGTACAGTAAGGGAGATATTGAAAAAATTTCACCAGTAGTAAGTCAGTCTTGTAACTACAAATGTACTACAACCTTTGGGACATTAATTTTTTTTCTTTTGGTGAATTATAGTCATTTTTTAAAGAAAATAGTTGTGTACTGTACATACAGTAAGGGAGATATTGTCTATGGCGACATATTGGTTAAATATTTCCTGTCAGTTTGCCTGCAAGGCATTTACTATGGCGTTGTAAACATAATTTGTGTTGTTTATTTTTTAATTATTATTTTTTTTAGTACGTTTTGTACTGAGAGGTAAATTTGCAGATGGTCCCTAAAGCAGCCTAGGCGAATATCCAGCGAATATCAAACCTAAAACTAATTTTACCACGCTAATAAAACAAACATGTTTTTTCATTTAAAAAAGTGTGAACGTATGTTTTATTCCTGTTCAAAGTTGTAACCAGTGCTAGAATACAGTCAAAAATTGCTCAGGTAGACCCAATAGAAAGTTGCAAACAATAAAGGTAAACATTTTTTTTTTTTAAATTAGTCAGCATGGGAATTTCTCTTTGGTCACACCTCTATTCTGACTACTGTTTAGTGATGATTTATATGAGGCAGAGTTGCTTTAAAAATGCATTCATAATAAAGCCTTTAAATATTATATTTAGCAAATATGGTTGTTGAATTAATATTCTTTTTAATATGCTTCAATTTCTGGAGTTTTGACGCATAACAAAATCGTTCAAAGGTTTAAGCTGGAAACTGCTCTGGTCATTTACACCAGTTATGCTGAAAATTGACATGAAATCAAAGCACTTTAATTTAGTTGACAACACTGTAAAATACAGCAACAACTTCAAGTAGGTTTTCGTCACAAATGTTACTGGTGGGATTAAATGGGTTAAAGCTTTTTTTCTTTTTAAATTAAGAAATTGTAAAAAAATTTAGGATTAAAAAAAATACTTGAATAACTAAAATAAGAAATATTCAAACTTGCTGTAACATTAATTCTACACTAGTTACTGTGTAGATGTGAGGACGTTCCCTTAGGGATATACTGCTTTTCATGCCAAATGTGCTTGGTGATTGGAAGTAATATGCTAAACGATCTGCCCTGCATGCCTTGTAGTGACACATCTTTATTATTTTTTTCCCCTTTTCTTTCTTATGTCCATGAGGGTTGCTTTGAATAAAACAGTATTTAGTCCACTTTCTGAATTACTTGTAGTGCCATTATCAAAGCAGTGCAACAAAGGTGTCTGATTCCTGTGAAGCTGACCATTCAGCAGTAATGTTATCTAACTCTCTTTACCGTGACGCAGAAGTATGTTTGAGCTTGCATGCTCAGCAATGACAGATGAGACATTTAGGAAATGGACTTTATTCATAGCCCATGAACAGGTGCCTTCTAGATAGGCCTGTACGGTGACATAAATTTTTAAGTAAATATAATGGGCGATATATTGCATCACCAAAAATTATTGAGGTCATGTACATATATTGCGCGATAAGTCGATATATTGATTATTGTGACAGGCCTACTTCTAGACCTTTGACAAGGGTCCCCCCTCAGACCCTGATGGTCTCGTCATCTCATAACGTGACCTTGATTGACTGTTGAACTTTGTGTTGCCATGCCCTTAGCATGTGACTAGATAATGCAGAATCTTCACAAAGTGGTTTGAGGACTACAATGACGAAAAATCAACGGCATCAGAAGTGATTTATGTCTGTAGTTGGTCATGATACTTAGCCTGATTTAAAAAACAAAATGTTCTACAACTTAATTTCACAACATTAGTTTTATATGAATATAATTTAGCAGATACACCTGGCTTTCATGACCAAACCTAATTATGCATGTCCAACATCATGACAAACATCTGCTTTCACTGCAAAACTGGTAGACAATCTTTTTTTTTCTACAGCTGTCTGGTGCATGCGAGGACATGTCTATTTGAATCCTTTGCAATATGAATTCTGGGGAAGACTTGTGGAGTTGTATGGGTGTTGATCACATAATGGACACCTCTCTTATTTTCTAATAGGGTGGTACGAAACCCTTCTCTGAAGTCATCAAAGCTAACATCGGTGATGCACATGCCATGGGACAACAGCCAATCACCTTTCTCAGACAGGTAACCAAAAATGCACAACTTATTCCTGTCTCATAGTCCAGTGTTTCCCAACCTTTTTTTAGTCACGGCACCCTTTGGAATCAGTGGTGGCAATCAGTAGGCTAATTTCTAATGAAAAGACCTATGTATATGATAGATTTTAATGTAGGCTTTTATTCATATGTAAACATTGTTTAATTACCATTATAACTAGCTATCTCACTTTTTTTTGTTCACTCAGTGTTTTTTTAATTTTACAGTGGGGTAATTTTGGTGCAGTAGCACGAGATAGCTTGATTTCAAACTTTGAATTGAATAAAAAATGACAAGTAAGCAGTCAGTAATAAAATAAGAACAAGTAAAGAAATTAATAATGATAGCACAAATAAAAAATAACGACAGTTTTTCAGGTAGGTCTAACAGTAAGGTTCAGATATTTAACAATTATAGATGCTTTTTTGAACATTTTAGCAATTTAAAAATATTAAAAAATGATTTTTTACACTGCACCCCTGCTCTCGACAGACGGCACCCCGGTTGGGAAACACTGTCATAGTCAACTATCTTGATCTTGAATTAAGTTATTATAGCATTAAAATCGGCATAAAAATGTAGATTCACTTTATTGATTTTCCAAATGCATGTCATAGATCTGATTGTGAACATTCTTCAATAATTTAGTCCACTTAAACCCTCAACCCTCAAGCTCATATAGCCTACATCACCACCATTTTTTAAATGTAATGCCCACATCTCAAAATCCAGTCAACAGCAATTGCAAGAAAAGATCTGTTGGTACTTCAGTGTTATCGCAAGTTTAAATGAAGCACATTGTTTCCCATTTTTGCAGCATTTATATTTGGTTCCCCTGAACCGTTCACTCACTGTGCCACAACACAGTGTCTTTTTATGAATTATGCTATGCTCCTGAAACTACATAACAGATTCTTCAGCTCATTTAGACTGTAAAAACAACATAGAACCTGCAAACAAAATCAGTGACCTTTTTAGCATGAACACGTTTATTCAGGTTAATGAGGAGTCCAGCTTGTGCTCAATGTTGTATGGCATGAAAGAAAAGCAGCTTTTGTTGACCACTCACAGTTTTGGAACACACTGCAAATTCCAGTGGAAGACAGTCTCTTATGATTGGCCTAGTTTAGTCCGAGTTGATCTAGCCTTTCATTATGAGCTGAACAAAAGCTTATGTGCAGCTTGTGAAATACGTTTTCTTGAGAGCCAACAGATTCTCAGGCTTGCATGACAGTCATAGTTTCTGGTCAGTGTGGACAAATGATTCTTGAGCTCATGTCAAAATTAAGGAAAATAGAGTCAAAGGAAAAGGAAAGCTGCCTTTTACATGTATTGTTATTATGGCTTGGAAACTTTGGGAGGGTCTGGACTCCACCAGCCATCTGGTCCAGACTCTATTTGGGAACAAAGTTCCTGCTCCAATTGCTGATCCTCCCCTTCAGTGTGCAAAAGGAATGAATAATCAATGGAACATTATTCTTACAAGTTACAACACAATACATAAAGAAATATTGCCAGATTCTGAACGAATCCATTGCAGTTTATTGTTTTGAATAATTATATCATTGATTGCAATTGCAAATGGACTTTTAGCATTTCGATTTTAGTGGAAATACATGTGCATAGAGTGAACACGTGCATAAAGACCATTGGTCTGTATTTGCTCTAAAATCATTTAAATTGCACTCACTGACTACAGACAAATAAGAGTGTGGTTTATCTGTGTGTTCATTTGTGCAGGTGGTGGCTCTCTGCACATTCCCTGAGCTGATGGACAGCCCTAGTTTCCCAGAGGATGCGAAATGGAGAGCACGGCGTATCCTGCAGGGCTGTGGGGGACACAGTCTCGGTGTGTGCATTTGTTCCTCTGAGGATGTGTTGTTGAAACTGGTTAAGATCATGTTATAAATCAAAATGTAAAACTCAGTTTACAGTGTAGCGATTGGAAAGGATCCATGATCTTCTGTTATTGCAGATCATGCAGTTCTCAGCAAACAATAGACCTGTATCGCAACACTCGGTTGTATTCAGTGTTTTGCTGCAGTAAGTGCTTTATGAGTGCTTGCGCATGTGTTTCTGTTACAGGGTCATATAGTGCAAGTCCCGGCGTGGAGTGCATCCGCAAAGACATCGCTGCATACATAGAGCAAAGAGATGAAGGAGTTCCTTCAGACTGGGAAAACATTTACCTCACCACTGGGGCTAGTGATGGCATTATGGTAAGTCGTTGTATCTTTACAATCAGTCAGAGACTTGACCCGCATTGCTAACAAAACCAAACTTTGTTTTTAAGACTATTCTGCGCCTACTGGTGTCTGGAAAAGATTCTTCTCGGACCGGTGTAATGATCCCCATCCCTCAATACCCGCTTTACTCCGCTGCAATCTCCGAGATGGATGCGGTACAGGTCAACTACTACTTAGATGAGGACAACTGCTGGGCACTGGACATCAATGAACTTTACAGAGCTTATCAGGCTGCCAAACTGCACTGTCAGCCAAAAGTCATTTGCATCATTAACCCTGGCAACCCTACTGGTTGGTATAATGTGAAGCTATTCTTGTGTGCTAGGAAACATAATGCCCTTGTGTTTGTTTGGATCCAGTAGCAGGTGTCCTGGAAAGAAGAACATGTCCCTTTTACTCCCTCATGTTCTTTTTCCAGTCATGATCCCTCGTGAGTGGGGACTGAGGCTGAAGAGATCTAAAATTACTTCCATATGATTTGTAGGCAATATTCCAAGTCTTCTGAAGCTGATAGTTTTGTGTTGATGAACGGAAACTAGTTTAATCAATAATTTACTGAAAGTTGCTTATGGAATGAAAAATATATTAGAATATAGAATATTTTGTGTAGAATTCAAATTGGTCGGATACGTTTTGTGGTCTGCCCAAGCTTGTGCTATCCTGTCTCTGGAGTGATGATGTGTGTTGTGATGGTTCATGTGATGCTGATGCACATTTTTTTGGAGTTGGACACTTCAGGTGGTTAGATGAAATCTGGATTGCAGAATGAGTCATCAATTTTTGATCTGCATTGATGGAAGAGAGAGACTATAAATATAATATGTATGTGAGAATCACTGTATTAAAATATGGCATGTCAAGATGCGCTGTGCTAGGTTTGATCATGTTAATGCTATATATATATATATTTTTTATGTTTAGGTGAACTATCCCTTTAAATTCTGTCATCTCTCTTCCTTCATCCCTGTTTACTCTTTACAGGTCAGGTCCAGAGTAAAAAATGCATTGAAGAAGTCCTGCACTTTGCATATGAAGAGAATCTCTTTGTTATGTCAGATGAGGTAATCTCAATATGTGCTCTTTTGCATTTACAATTTGAATAAGAAAATAGTTGAGCTATCTTTAAACATGTACTACCATTCAAATGTTTTGGGCCAGTGTTTTTTATTTTTTTATTTTTTTACTTTTATTTAGCAAGGATGCATTAAATTGACCAGAGTGACCGTAAAGACATTTTGTAATGTTACAAGAAGTTTCTATTTCAAATAAATATTCTCTTTAAACGTTCTATTCATCAAAGAATCTTAAAAGAAATGTATCATGGTTTCCACAAAAATATTAAGCAACAATAATAATAGTAAGAAATGTTTCTTCAGCACCAAATCAGCATATTAGAACAATTTTTTTTTTTAAGACTGCTGATGTCAGAGGAATAAATTGCATTTTAGATTTACATTCATGCACTTTGCAGACGGTTTTATCCAAAGCGACTTGCATTGCATTTAAGGTATATGCTTTATCAGTCCATGCATTCCCTGGCAATGAAACCCATAACCATGATGTTGTTAGTACCATACTCTACTGATTGAGCTACAGGAATGCTTTTCATTTTAAAATATAGTATTTTTCATCAAATAAATGCAGCCTTGATGAGCATAAGAGACTTCTTTCAAGATCATCAAAAAAATTGTAGCGACTACAAACTTCTCAACGTTAGTGTGTATTTAAGTTTGAAACTATTCCGAAGTATGTGTGCCTCAGTTGCCTGAATCCTTCTAATTTAACACATCTGACTCCCATACGACTATTATGTACCCAAATGTTGGTTTGTTCTGTTGCTGGCAGGTGTATCAGGACAATGTGTATACTCCTGACTGTCAGTTCCACTCCTTCAAGAAGGTGCTCTATGAGATGGGTCCCGAGTACTTCAACAGCGTGGAGCTCGCCTCCTTCCATTCCACTTCCAAAGGCTACACGGGAGAGTGAGTATTCCTGTTCTTGAACCACTGCAGTGGAAAGCATGTGCCTTAATTTGAGATGGCCTCCTTAAGATCAGCTTTCAGTGACCCTTCACACAACTTCACATGACATGACCACAGTATCCTGAAACACATTTAGACATCGTCTGGCTTTATAATTTGCGATTTTAAATAGACGTGATGTAGAAATATCCTCCACCTTCAGTGTGAAGTTGGCATTTGTAAGGACATGAACTGGTAAAATTTTAATGGTAGCTCAATGTGCTGGCCTAAGGCATTGTTGCATTAATATTTGTTAAACCCATTCGTCTAGTTGTTCAAAAGACCAAAAGATTCCTCTGATACTTTGTGGAATGTGGCCTGACTGGAATTTAGTGTTTCTCTGACAAAACCTCAGATATTTATGTTTTTGGCTAATGAACATGGCAAACTTGTCCAGCAGTTTTGAGAACCCGTGGTGGCGTGTCCATGTCGTTCCACAGATGTGGCTTCAGGGGTGGATATATGGAGGTGATCAACATGGATCCTGAGGTCAAGGCCCAGCTGGTCAAGCTTTTATCAGTTCGTCTGTGTCCCCCCTTGGCTGGCCAGGCTGCAATGGATGTGATTGTCAACCCTCCACAACCAGACGAGCATTCGTACAAACAGTTCCACCAGGTTAGTGTCTGGTGAAGTAAAGCACATTGTGTGCCGACACTGACAGTAATGCGATTGTTATGTGGTTTCTAGTATGTAAAACTCTAAATGTTACGCATCAGTAACCTGTTATTACATAAACATCCCTGAAGAATTTTTATGTTTGGGTTTGACTGGGCATCATTGTGTTTGTTTGATCTCTTTCAGGAGAAATCATCAGTGCTGGGTGCTTTAGCAGACAAAGCTAAACTAACTGAGCAGATCCTGAATGCAGTTCCAGGAATCAAGTGTAATCCCGTCCAGGGGGCCATGTATGCCTTCCCTCGAATCTTTATTCCTCCTAAGGCAGTGGAGGAAGCCAAGGCAAGTGCTCCTACTTCACCAACACTTGAGCTCTCTAGTGGAGTGTTTTTTTTTTTTTGCTTTTGGTATTGTGATCCACTAGTTTCCATGGAACTCTGCATTATTCACAGTAAACTTCTTTTCAGCGCCACTGATCTAAGTGTTGTCTGATTAAAAAGGATGTAACCAGTAGAACTAGTTCAGAACAGTTCAGTCATTAAGAACTGAGTGAATAATTGCTTGCAGAATGGTAGTTTGCAACAGATAATAGTAACTTTTGTTACATAATTACGCTTGATGTTTGCACTGCTCTTCTACTCGAATGAAACTTCTGTGTTTTGTAACTCAAAAAAAAAAAAAGACATACTTGAAATACATCAGAAGAAAGTTAGAAATGCAAGTCTGAGCTGTCACTGAGGTTGTGTGTCTGAATTTGGTTCGGCAGGCTCTAGGAATGCAGCCTGACATGTTTTACTGTCTGAGATTGCTAGAGGAGACAGGAATCTGTGTTGTTCCTGGTAGTGGCTTTGGGCAGAAAGATGGAACATATCATTTCAGGTAAAGTTGTTGATCAAACAAATTCAAATATTTTATTTATATATCAGGTGAATTTTTCCCCACCCATGACTTCCTGTTAGAACATGATTTGAAATCTGCCATAATTGGTCTTTTTTTTTTTTT